CCGCCTGCAAGGCTATTCGAGAGCTTTTCCTGTGTAATGCGACCCGCTCGGATTCTCTTCGCTCTGACCTACTGAGTTCTGAAGCCGGGAAATCCCGGACATTCCAGGGGGCTTTGCGCGCAGACATGCCAAACCTCTGCATCAGGGCCTGGCTGGGAGCCCCGCAAAGCCAGGCCCGGGGCCCATGTGCGCCAAAAAATAAGCCACACTCTTTTTTACAAGCCCGGCGATGCTTCAGGGGCCTGGCCCAGACTGCCTCGTCCTGGACACTGTCTCAGACCAAAGCTGGCAGGCAGCTGAAACCCATCTCAGGTCTTTCCTTCTTAAAAAGGTGTACAAGGGGAAAGAAAGAGAATCGCAGCTTTCCATCTATCTCCAGGCATTCCAAGGGAAGAGGGGGAAGACAAGGTCCGAGGAAGCGTGGCATTTCATCTCTAGACAACCGGGCAGAACTGCCGTCTCTTTTATCCTGATATCCCAATTTTCCTCTCTCAAGGACCCCTGGGGCTGCCGACAGGACCCTCCTCCTCTCCATTTCAGCCTTGCAACAGCCAGGAAAGGTTGGGACTGACAGACCACCATCTCTGGACAGCACAAAGATGGAGGGGGTTAGCCTGTGCCAAAAGAAACCGGCAGATGAAACAGGACACTCGAGAAAGTAAGCCAAGTTAGCTACAGCCGGCACAAGACGGGCTGGAACCCTGCACTGGTGGCGGCCACAATTTTAATGTGGGCTCCAGCTGGCCTCCTTGCTGGAAATTCGAGGAGGAAATTCAGAATTTTAGAGGGGTGTATGCAGGGCTTAAGGGACTGCCAGACAGCTTTCGACCTGGGTAGATTTGCCCCCCTTTGGTTCCCCCACGGCAGAGACATACCTCACGGCCATCCTGGCCAACGTTGGTTTGCCCTCTCACGACAATCCGAATATTATCGTCCAAACGTCTAGAAAGAGGGGGGGGGGAAAGCAGACAGCCTGAAAATTATTAATCGGTACCAGAACATTTTTAAAAAGAAAGGAAAATATTGCCGAAAGATCAAGCACTGATAGAAAGATATCACTGTATTTTGAGTTTTAAATAAACATTCCTGTCTGCCAGTGCCACGGGGAGCTTTATAAACTCTTAAGATATGAATCTTGTTTCAGTTTTCATTTCCACAATGATATTAGAAAGAAGGGAACTAGAATCCTCTCTTGATGGGTATCTGCAAACGTGCCCTGCTTGTGAATTCCCCGGAGGCAGGGAACAGGGGAGAACTGTGTGGTTACTCTCGAAACAGAGTGTTGGACTAGACACACCTGTCAAAGGTATCAAACCCTGAAAGCAGCCAAGTTTACAAAGGGGTGTTGTGCCACATTCCCAGTTTGAGGCAAGCAGGCCTTGTTTCAGAGTGGTCTTGCATTTCCCCATTGCCTTGGGGAGTCATGGAAATTCCACGCAGGGAGTAGGAGACAGAGAGCCGAAAAACACTCCATCCTTTTTCCACCCACTATCGAGAGCTGCTCTCCCCTGCTTTTAACTAGACAATTATAGTACACATCTTTCCATACCGGCTGGTCAGGCGAATCCAGCTTATAAAATACGGCTGCTAGCAACTTATTTTCGGATGCATTTAAAGGAATACTACCCTGCTCTTCAACCGAAAAGGATCCCCGAGAAGCTCAAAGAACAATGAAAGCAAGCGAGTTCTTGGCCTTGCCATCTAAAAGACCACAGTGCAAAAAGGAAAAGGGTGAGGAGGGAAGGGAGGGGAATCAAACCAATTCTTAAAATTTAGTGCCAGTTGTAAACAGTTTGAGGAAGGAAGAAGAGCTGATGGGATGGACCTGCTAGTCCTGACCCCTTTCCTGAGAGACTCGGCCAGAGGAGGGGAGCTCTGTGAGGCAAGCAGCTTGTTCTCACAGCAAAAGCAGCTCTTATCTATGGAATGACTGACGTGAAGGCCGTCTCCTCCGAACAAGCTGAAAGCGTTGGCACGGCTTCTAGAGACCATCATGGCTTTAGGAGACTGGGGAAATTCACTGTACTACTTGTTGAACCTGAATAACCTTCTTGCCCATCTTCTGGTGGAGGCACCAAATAGAGGCGTTCACTCATAGGCTACCCGGGGTCGTTTCACTGGGCTTGGGCTGCCAGGCCTGCGAGTTCAAAGCCAAATGCCCCCTATCGCCCGCCGGGGGCCCCACGTTCAACTCTGGATGTCACTTGCTGCATTTCAGAAAATCCTGGGCCATCTTCTGAGCACGCACCACACGAGAGCATGTGAGAAGAGATAAAACGATCGTGGCGGGCAGGCCGTGGCTAAATTTATTGTGTATTTTATTCTATGCTGTGAGCCACCCCGAGGCTTCGGCAAGGGGCGGCATAGAAATGTTTTAATAAATAAATACATAAATAAATAAATGACTAAAATTACACATGTGAGGAGGAGGTGGAAATGAGATGAAAGCTGAGGCTGTCCAACTGGGAGAAGATTTAAGAAAAGGAATCGGAAGTATCTCTTTCACAAGACGAACAGTTCACGGATGGAAATCACCCCCACCAGAGGAGTTTTGCAAGGGGATGAGAGGAATTTGTAGGGGCAGGGAGCTACGGACAGCCGTTAGCCACGAGTATGGAGTCTTTCTTCACCCATTTCTACTCATCAAAGCTTTAGGACACAAGCACGTGGGTAAGGACACTCTTCCGTTTTCCATGGAGCCCCACTGACATGTGGGGCCTTGGCGGGGGTCCCACCAACCCAGTCCTCGACTCCAGCGTTGCTGTGGAAGGCAGGACGCAGCCCTGAACAGATTTCTACACCTGGTTTCTGTGGGCAGATCGACAGCCTAACCCAGTCGCAGGCAGCTTTACCTGCCTGGCTTTGATCCAAGAGGGATGAAAGATTCCAACCACTCGGGAAAACTAGGAAAAAAGCCCCCACTTGCCTGATTTTCAGCCTGATTTTGTTGACCACGTCGTCAATGCTGGCCAAGGACTGCAAGACAAAACATGGGTTGAGGGCGAGGATATGCTTCCCAAATAGCGAAATGCACATGGTCACACGATCTAGAGCGAGTCTACCAGCACCGGGCAGAACGGTTCTCCCCGCTGGGTACAAGGCCACCTACCTGGCATCCAGAACGACAAGAGAGGAGGGTCTGTCTGTCAGGGACACCGTCCCAAGACTGAAACCCAAACAACTGAAACGTGGGGTGCCTGCTGAGGGGACCACTGAGGCACACACCCTAGCATGACTAGGGTGGCAAATTAATACGATCTGTCAAGCATATTAATTGCCTTCATTAATTCAAATATGGCCATGTGGTAGAAGCCGGCAGGACGATGTCTGGTCACTCGGGAAATGCAGCCCTTGCTAGCGAATAACTCGGCCATCAATACAGTATGAAGCCAGAGGTGGGGAGCAGTTGGAAGGGCAGGGCTCTGTAGCTGCCCCCATCCCCTGGCCGTGGGGCAGCCCCTGTAGAGAAATAAATTACACAGACCTTTCCCTTTAAGGAAGACCTCTGGGAATTAAACTCGCTCTCCTCCTATACCTCCCTCCTCGTGCCTAAGGATCCTGTGGATGCCATGGCACCAAAGGTGTGGGTACCTGGCTATGAGAGACAGAGAGGGCCTTCTTGCTGGTGGTCCCACAGATCTGGAGTACTTTCATCCAGACAGGTCAGCTTGGCATCCTTGGAAAAACATGGTCTTTCCGCAGCAAGAAGAGGCCCTTTTTATTTTCCTTGGGCTCCTGCGGCTTTCTTCCATTTTGAAGCATTTCACTGACCATCTTTCGGGACTGCCATGGCCGGTCTGGACTGAGAGCGTCCCTTCTGTAAGGGAAAGAGCTCCTGGCATTCAAGGATCTAGCACAGACTCCCACTAGAGAAACAGAGGACAGGGAAGCGTTTTCTGCCAACTCTCCATGTAGCTCTCGCAAAACCCTTCGACCTGACTGTTCTGGAGGGTCATCCCCCACCAATCCAGAGCAGTGGATCATAGGGGGCTACAGGAGGCCATAAACAACCCCCCTCGTTCCTTCAGTGGAAGGAATTTTGGATCCAACCCTTCGCATTCGTATTCGATCATTTTATTGCTTCTGCAGATGCCCTGAAAGGCACTAAAAATGCTTGTGTTAATTAAAATGTAGCAGAAGGTCTGGCGTCTGTTGCATCTGAAATCCTTTGCTAATTTTAAGGATGGGTTTTCTGCCTCCCAGAGGCAGACTATGCTCCACAGAATGGAAATGGCGACCTCCCGTGGACAAACAGAAAAAACAAATTCAGCAGGGCCACAGAGGTTTAAACCAGGGGAGTGGAAAGACAAGATTTCTGCTGCAGTTCAGGGTTTACCAGACTTTCCTTATTTTTATGCATTTATCATATCTACATCCTGCCTTTCTTCCTGCAAAGAACCCCAGGCAACTTAATTTTCTCTCAGTTTTGGCCTCACGACAGCCCTGTGAAGTAGGGTGAGCTGAGAGGTCCAATACCACCCTCTGAGCTTCGTGGCCTAGTGGGGACTAGAATCCAGGTCTCCTGAATTGTAGTCCAGCCACTGTGCGATACGATCTCCTTTCCCCCTGGAGAGAGAGACGCAGATGAATGCTAGCAGAGAGAGGTGACCATACCAACTTTGGCGGCACAGAGCGTGCGGAAAGGGAAGAGTGCTTGGAAACAAATCACTCCAGTTCCAATGTTCCACCTGCAAGTGCCGATCAACCCTTAGTCCACCAGAACCCATGCACAAGAGAAGGCCCGCAGCAAGCTAGAGAAATCCAGGGCTTATTTCTGCCTAAACATGCACAAAACGGCATCTTTCTTTCTATTTATTTTTTTAGGAAACTTCTATGCCACCCCATTCGCCAAAGCCTCGGGGCAGCTCACAATAATAAATAAATAAACACAATATAAAAACAATGTAATTTGAGTCGACCTGGCCAATAAATAAATAAATAAATATTAACAATTAAAATAACGTTTGAATAAAAAGGTCTTCGCCTGGTGCCGAAAAACAAATAACGACGGCGCCAGGTGGACCTCTCTGGGGAGCGTATTCCATAGGTGGGGCGCCACCGTAGAGAAAGCCCTCCTCCGAGTACCCACCCTCCTAATTTCCTTCACGGAGGGTTCCCGGAGAAGGGCCTCTCCCGCTGATCTCAAGGGGCAGGCAGGCATATATGGATGTAAGCGCTCCTTCAGGTAACCAGGACCCAAGCCATTAAGGGCTTTATAGGTCATCACCAACACCTTGAATTGGGCCCGGACTTCAATGGGGAGCCAGTGAAGCTGACAGAGGACTGGAGTCATGTGAACACAACGCCCCATCCCCGTCAGCAGCCTGGCAGCTCTATTTTGAACCAATCTTTTGAATTTTGAATCTTTAGCCACCGTGTGCACCCACAGGCAGAAAAACAGGGCAAAAACAACACACCAGATCAAAACCCCACTCTATCACACCACAAAGCCTGCAGGATACAACTCACCTGCTCTGTCGGGAAAAGCGTGTTGATGTATTCCACCGCATTGAAGTCCGCTCTGTCCAGTGGATCTTGACTGGGAAATACCTATAAGCCAAGCACAACAGGAATCATCACTCCGCAATTTCATGCAACGGGAGCCTGGATTTACACTGAAGAGCGCAATCGCAGGCATGTCAAGACAGAACAAAGCCCTACATCACCCAGCATCACAGGCTGGAAAATACTAAACCCTTTTTTCCATTTAAATACACACTGGATTGCAGGCCTTTCAGCTGCCTACACATGCATAGGATTGTAGGAAATTTTTCCGCCCAAACACGCATAAGAGTGTGCTCTTGACATGCCTGCCCAAACTTAGACCAATGAGATTTTCAAGGGTGCTTGTACTCTCGGGAAGGCAAGAGGCGGCGGGGGGATGTGGGGGGCAAGGTAATAACCATCAGGAAAACGTCTGGTGTCAGCATTGCACAGCACTTCTTTCAAACAGTGTCCCCTCATTTCCACCCTATTTATTTCTATTTTTAGACTTAATTCATTGTAAACCGTCCTGAGACGTCTAAGTATAGGACAGTATAGAGACGTTTTAAATAAATTAGTGAGATAAACGACAGGCCGCCTTACACCCGCCTCCAAGCAAGCAAATGCAAGGTCACCCCGCACCCGCACCTGCCCCGTGCACCTTAGCGGGTGCCCCCCCAGAGGCATGCGCTGCTCCCCTCCCTCCCACTCCGGTACCCCGGGGTCCTTCCGGAAGGCGGCGGCAGCAGCAGCGCCCCAACCAGGCCCTCCCGTGGCCCCCCGCCCGCCAAGCACGCACGCAGGGCGGCCGCGGTCCAAGGGGAGCGGCTCCCAGGCCGCCATCTGCCCCCCCGCGGCCCCCTCCCCGCAGAGACCCTCCCCGCACAGCCATGCTTCCCCCAACCCGCCCAGCGCGCCCCTCCCCCCCCCGGCCCGCACAGAAGCCCCCCAGGCCGCGCGCCAGGCCCGGCTCCCCCCCGCGGCGCACCTGCTCGATGGCCTGCTGCACCTCGGGCGCCAGCTGCAAGGCGGCCTCCAGCTCGTCGGCCAGCTCCAGCTCGTCCTCCTCCATCCCGGCCCCGGCAGCGCCGCCCCCTCCTCTGCTTCCGGGAACCGCGGCATGCCGGGATACCGGAGGACCCGCGGGGCGCAGGGGAAGGGGGCGGTCCCTTCGGCGGCGGCGGCCGCGGAGGAGCCAATGAGCGCGCGGGGGCGGGGCCGAGCGGGCTCCGCGCGGGCCACGCCCACTCCGGGCTTGCTCTTCTCCAGCCGGGCGCCCTCCGGGAGTATTTCGTTATTTCTATACCGCCCAATAGCCGAGGCTCTCCGGGCGCTTAGCAAAGGTTAACAACACGCAAGCAAGAGGGGAAAAAAGATAACATTCGACAATAAAACCGCAGCAACTGCAACTCAGTCACCACAGAGGCATAGCAGCGGTCCAGGATAAAACGCGATATTAAAACGAAAGTAAAAAAGTTAACTGTTAAACTCCTGGGAAGATAACAAGATTTTCACTTGGCGCCGAGGAGAATACAGAGTAGGCACCAGAAATGTACTGACTTCAACACCCATCATCCAGCGTGGTGGCAGCTGAACTCTGCCATATCGGGAAAGCACGTTAGATGCGACGTGTGGATATGCACATATATCAATAGGCATGTACGTATTTATTAGATTTATATCGCAGCTTTTTCTTTTTTAAAGAACTCAAGAAGGCTCTTAAACCTATCCTCACAGCAACAACCCTGCAAGGTAGACTGGGCTGAGAGTCTGTGACTGGCCCAGAGTCACCCAGTGGGCTCCATGGCCGAGCGGGGACTCGAACCCGGATCGCCTGAGTCCCAGTCCCACGCTCTTAACCACTATGCGGCACTGCCTCTCTGCACCTTCCTGGCACGCATCCTTGCAGCCCAGAGTCTGGTGTCCTGGGTGTTCAGATGTGTTTAAAAAGGAGCTTTAATCCTTCCAAGCTCAGCCCAGGAGCCCTTATTTCTAGCTCTTCCTCAGAGACCGTCCCAAGAAGGGAAGAGGGAACCCTTTACTGTCCATTTTGAAATCTCTTATTGAACTACACCCACTTCAGAGGCAGCCAGTCATTATATTGTTATTTATTTTATATTGTTAATTTGATATTGTTATTTTTGTATTTTATTGTATTTTATTGTGTTGTAAGCCGCCCCAAGGCTTTGGCAAGGGGCGGCATAGAAATGTTTAAATAAATAAATAAATAAATACCCAAAGCACAGATGTGCTTCTTTGCCAGAAGTCATGCGACAGATGCTATCTTCCATGTCAGCGCGGTGGTGTATCCACTCTGAGTTTTAGCCTGACCATTAAAGGAACTATCCCTGGTGCTAAATGCTATCCCCTGCTCCTCGAATTGATTTGCCACGGGGGGGGGGGGGGATGGAATAGTCCCTTAATGTTCAGACCAAAAAAAGGGCATTCCCCATCTCCCCAACAACCCTGCGAGGTAGCCTAGGCCGAGACAGACTCTCCAAAGTTCTCCTCTGAGTCACGTCTCCATGCCACCGCTGCCACAGAAAGCTTTTTCCTGCCGCTCGGACTTGTTTGTGCTTGTTGTTTTGAAGGGTTCGAGCACCTCCGACGTTCTCCGGGGACTCTGCTTTTTCCCCGTTTCCACACACGCCCACTGGCTCCCCGCATGTTGCCACACACCTCACAATAAATACCAACGTTGGCACTGCCTCCCTGTCTCAGAACTTGGAGCGGGGATTAATTACGTGGCACTCAAACCCCAGTCTCTCTCTGCAGCACTTTGCAGCTTGGCCTTTACCCGTTGCTCCGTCTCCTGGCATTCGCACGCTGGAAGAAGCTTTGCTGATTAACTGGTCCGGTGTGTGTACAAAGCACGGGCCTCATTTCCTTCTGGTCCGTTGCCCCTGGAAAAATTCCTGGAAAAGGCGCTTAGAGATAGTGGGATCACAGATACATCCGTGGGGTCATTCCCCAGCCAGCCAGCAACAGTTGCTTCTTAAGATTTGTCATGGTTCGGAACAATCGCAAGCGACGGCTCCTGAGAACTGCAGCAAAATGTTGCAGGATGAGAGGTTTCTGTATGGCCTGCTCTGTCCCGTTCTCCCACACACCCACCGGGCAATATTCCACCGCCCCCGAAATTGAGGTTACTGGGTTGGGCTTTTTGGAGGACCGAGGAGTCTTCTCTCTGGGTCCCCTCCCAAAGACATCAGTTTTCCGATCTGGGCATTCCCTTAAACCCGCCGATACCTCCCTTTCGTGGGTGGCTGGCTTGAGCAATACTTTCCTCTTGGCTAGGTAAACAACAGCACGCAACTCCGAGCAAACAGGAATGAAAAGAGAAGGGGGATTCAGAAGCTTGAAGCTGTGGGGGCAGAAGAGAAAGGAGATCCTTCGGGCTGGTGGTACAAGGCCCAAGAAAAGAAGTCTGCGTATGGGGTGGGCCTCTGAGGGGTCACAGAAAATTCAGTCCTCATTTTTCAAGCCAGATAGTACCTTTGAGCCTGGAAATAAGGCCAGTAAGTGGGGATGTGATTCAGGTGTAAAAAATTACTCCTGGAATGGAAAAGACAGAGGCTCTTGAACTAGAACCCAAAGGGGTGATCCCATGAAGTTGATGGGCAGGCAATTTCCGGCCGAGTATGGGGAAGACTTCTTCATGCAGCCCAGAGTTGAAATCTGATGTGGGCTTCCACGAAGTGTCGAGAAGATCACCCCTTAAAAGGGCGACTGGATAAACCCAGAGGAGAACACTATCAAAGACTGTTAGTCTCAATGGCTCCTAGTGTCAGAGGCAGGACAGCTGGATAGACCAGTTGCTGGGGAACATGGGCAACAGGGTCTGCTTGGCTTGTAGGTTTCCTGGGTTGGCTGCTGTGGGAACAGACTGCCGGAGACAGACAGACTCTGTCTGCTCCAGTTGGGTCCTTGTGCAGGTTTTTCTGGGAGGTGGAAAGGAGGGCGTGGATGGAGAGGGTTTTGAGCAGAATCCGTGTCCAAACAATGCGAGGGATCCGGTCGGCGCCGGAAGGGCAGCTCACCCACCATTAGGTTTGTGCAAGACAAGACAGACAGTGGTCCAGGTAGGCCCCGTATCCTCTCCCCTGGCTGGCTGAAGCTCTCCAGGGCCGAGAGGGGAGTTTACCCTCACCTGCCAGGAGGTGCTGGGGAGCAGAGGAGGAGCAAAGCCAGGCTGTTACCACCATGGGGCCAGGGCCTCTCCCCAAAGAGAGTTTCTCAGTCACACCCTTCACCTCTTGCCACAAAAGCTTCCAAGGAGTGTTGGAGACACTCATTTTTTTGGAATGCAGCCCAACTATTTCCAGGGCAAATTACGGGCTGGAACAGAAAAGGCCCCCGCAGAACGCTGATATGTTTCGCTTGCGAGGGAGATACGAAGGACGTGTCGAAATAGGTTGCGATGAAGGCTGGAATGTCGAGCAGGGGAATTTAAAAAGAGAAGTGTGTTTATCAAGAGAACACAGATGCATCAAGGGCCTGCAGCTGCATTATCCCTGGCTCCAGATGGCTGACGTGTTTTGCCTCTTCCCCAGAGACAATTACTGGGCAGGTCTTTGAATGCACAGACCTTGGCCTGAAAATTACAAGGACTCATTCTTTAAATGGATGGTTGTTATTATTACATTACACCTGCCTTTTTTCCTCTTGCAAGCGACCCGAAGCAGCTCAGAACAACCTTGCGAGGTGGATTAGGCAGGGAATCCGCAACTGGCCCAGAGTCTCCCAGCGAGTTTCGTGGCCAGCTAGAGAGCTGAACTCAGATCTGCTGAGTCCCGGTAGAATGTCCTCATCACTACACCTTGCCGCTTTGGGTTTCTTGCACAATAAAGGTGAGACGTAACACTCTTTTTAGACATTAGACCCACTAAAACCTATTGCAAACATTAAGAACAGGGAAGCCCATCCATAGCAGACCTTTGAACTTGCAGATTAAGGAAACAGATGGTTATGTGACTTACCTTTTGTTTTTAGACTTTAACCAGGTTAGGGACTGGAGGAATCCTTCACTTCAGGGGCTGAGGGCTTCAGGGCCGGAGCTGAACTCCGGCACTCTGGGGGTTCCTTGGATGGCCATGCCTCTCCTCTGGCCCCCACAGCGCCCCCAACCACAGACCACTGGGTGCAGCCCTGGCTTTTTCCGTCTACCTGAAGCCTGAAATGCCTGCTCTTGGGGCTAAACCAGGCCTGAAATTCCCAGCTCCTGGAGTTCCCAAAATGTGTGCGAATGGGACCAGACAACACATCAGGTCTTCTCCCAAGGCTGTTTGGAGGTGTTGGAGGGCATCTCCATCAAAGGACCTTTCTGCCCCACACCTTGTCCAAGCCTGGAGCCAGCCCCAGTAGTTGGGAGATGGGGGGCCAGAGTTTCCTCGTCCAGAACTGGAAGCACCACCTGTGCCAGGCCAAGCAGCTTTTGGGGTGACTATAAGATTTATTTAGTTATTTATTTGGAGTTTTTGTATGCCGTCCCATTCGCATAAGCCTCGGGACGGCTTCCATACAATAAATAAACATACGATGTTTTCCTCCTGCTCACGGCAGGCCTGGTAGAAGCCGTGGGGCAAGGTCCCCGAAGGATCATCTGGGGCGTCCCGCAAGGATGGGAGACAGCCAAACCTGTGGCGCTGCTTTCGGGTTCAGCAAGAAAGTCCCTCAGCCCGGGAGAGAGGTGGGAAGAGAGGCCAGGCATGCAGCCCTGCAGAGGTGAAGCTGGTGTGCAGCCGGCACACCCAGTCATAAAGAGGTTGGTGCTATCACAAGCGCCTCGAAGCACCGGCGTAAGGACTGCCTCGCCTCTTCGAAACGAGGACCACAGCTCAAGCTCTCCAGACCTGCTCCTTATCTCCAGGCTTGCGACACGCGTGCCGTCTCGTCTTCCCAACAGAGAGCGCGGGGACGCGTCTGCAGCAAGCACTGGGAGGTTGCGTTATTCAGAGGGAAACTTCCAAAGGTAGATCTGGCGGGCGCCCGACCCTGGATGAGCCAACAGAAGACTCTCCTCCAAAGCTCAACTTGGTTTATTTATTTTTTATTTATGTATTAAAACATGTTTATGCCGCCCCATTCGCCGAAGCCTCGGGGCGGCTTACAACAATAAGTTAGAACATCATAAATAACCTTTGAAAAGGTTTTTGCCTTCAGTCTTTTTTATTGCCAAGGTCCATACATCCAAGCAGTGAAAAGATCCATAAAAATAAAATATTAGTGTTGGTACGTTTCAATATATATATTTTCTCTATATGGCAAGATGAGCTACTGTCCATAGGCGTAATCACACATAGACTTCAACAAAAGCAGGCCAACAAAATCTGTGCCAGCTGCTGCAGTCAGGGTGCCACCACTGAGAAGGCTATCCATAACTCACGTGAAACTTTCTGCTCTGTTGGAAGATATGGGAATACGTGATATTTTGAGTATGCCTAATCCCCATGGTTTAAAGCAGAGAAAAGGACTTGTACATATTATTACCCATTGACTATCTCTGGGGAGCTTGCTTCATCTTTCTGCTTTGTGAGCAGGGAAAGATATCTAACTGCAAAGGTGTTGTTTTAAAAATATGTAAAAAATGGCTCTAGGAAACCATTCTTCCAAAAGAACCAAAAGGCTCACAAGTGGTTTACATCTGAGTAAAACAAGACAGTACCTGCCTACAGGTTTATGATGTAAAGGAGATATGGCACATAAGGAGTAAGCGATGGGGAGGGAAGAGGAAAGATGAAGCCCTCTTTCAGGAGGAGGACCTGCTTCCTGTCATTTCCTGCCGTACAGGAATCTTGTTGCGCACGATACCAAGGCGCTTTTTGTACTTTCTACATGATCTATCATTAAAGTTTTTCCATAGGCGAAAATAATCACCTAAGAAGTGAGAGAAAGAACAGAAAATGCTCATTTTAAAACCGAGTTTACCATCTTTGGTTTTTACTTGAACACATATTCAAGGTACAAGTTAAAGAAGAAAGCAGCTGTGACCAGTTCACTGGAAGCAGGCAGTTATTTTAATCCATTAAAAAAACAGGATTAGGCAAATTCATCAGTCACTCAATTACCTTGGGATTCAGTTTACAACACACCTGTAACTTGTGTGCTCTTGGATGCCTGTAACGGAGCAGGCTGGGAAGACCCAGTACGCAGTGAAATCACCTTCATGTCCATATTTGCTGGTGGGTGTGCATAGGATTGGAACCCGTAGCCATTGCCTTGCTATATTCTATGGTCATGCAAGATGCACTTATAGCATGCAGCAGGAGTTACTTCGGAGTCGCGACGAACTTTGTTAAAAATGGGAGCTTTTACGGAGGGTTGGGAAGGGGGTATTCCCGACACCCTGTCTCGTGGAGGAGCGATGCCAAGGGAAGACGTCCGCTTTCCTCTTCCCTCCCCATCGCTCGCTCCTCTCCTGCCATGCCCCTTGAGGACTGCACGCCCTCTCGACTCACCCTGGCTAAACCACGCTGCTGGAGGACCCCAGCAGGCCCAGGAATGCGGGGACTGGATCCCCCCCGCCCATCGGAGCGATGGAACGGCCGGAGCCCCAACGTTCCGCGGATGGAACGCCCGGAGCCCCAACGTTCCGCGGGTGGAACGCCCGAGCCCCAACGATCCGCGGGTGGAACGCCCGAGGCCTCCGCGTCCCGAGCGGATGCAGCGCCGCCCGCTTCGCAAAAGTCCCAAACTTCTCCGCGTGGGACGCCCGCCCAGCAGGCAGGAAAAGCAGGCGCGGCTCGGGCCGCGGGGGGGGGCGGCCGAGGGGGCGGGCGGGCGGTCGGTCTCCTCCCCGCCTCGCCTTCCCGCTCCCTCCCGCTGGGAAGCTGCTCCCGAGCCCGGGAGAAGGGCCGGCCGCTCCGGCAGTCAGAAGGCGGGCCGAGCCGCCCCTCCATCCCGGCGGCGGCGGCTCCTCCCTCCTCTTCCTCGCCGCCCGGCCTACTGGGATAAATCCGGCGCGGGGAGGGGGCGTCCCGCCGGGGGAGCGGCTCCGGAGCCTGCTGCGGGCGCGCCGCCGCCGAGTGCGCCTTCGGAGCGGCCTCTCCCGCGGAGCGCCCGGACGCGGCGGGGGGCCGGCGATGTGGCAGACGCTGGCCCTCGGGGCGCTCTTGTTCCCGGGACTGTTCGCCTGCTGCATCCGGAGCCTGCGCCGGATCGCGCCGGCATGGAGCCTCAAGGACCGCGTCGTGCTGAGCAGCAGGTACCGGCTGGCACCGAGGGCGCGCGGGGGGCGGGCGGCGCGGGCGAGCCGTTCCGCCCGGATCCTCTTATGCAACCGGATGGAGCCGCGGGAGAAGCGGCGCAACGTTCCCGGAGGGGCGCGCGTGCGGCGAGACGGCGCCGGATCGGGGCTCCGGGGCAAGGCAGGGGCGGTGCGGGGTCGCGCCCGGATGCTGCAGCCGGCACGTGAGAACGCGCGCTGGGGGGCGCGGGAGCTCAAGCCCGGCTCCTCCATTCAAAGGGAGTGCGATCCGCCCCTTCTTGGGGCAGCCGTGCCCCACACTCCCCGCAAGGCATGGTGGACTACAACGCCTATCATCCACCCCCTTTGGCTCATGCGCCCTAGCGGTGTGGGGAGGGAAGCTATTTCACGTGTTTAGTTCTGGACTGTTTGCATCGACTCAAAAACCGGGCACAGCACCCAGGTACAGTGAAAAGATCTGAAAGCACCATTTAAAATAGTCTAACAGCTGTGATTACATTTGTGATTAAAGAGCTGAAACGAAGTTTGATTAAAAACGACGACTCCCGGACAGGTCCCATCATTTTCCACCGAGTGCCCGAGAGAGAGGATGGGCTTACCTGCCATTGAAAAGAGCCAGGCAGGCCAGTGGGAAGAGCATCCCATAATCGGGGCCACCACGAAGAAGCCCCCGTCATCCATCTTTGTTGTCCTCGGAGCCTCCCTCAGAGGAGGCACCTGGGCTTTGGTGTAGCGTACAAGTAGAGTCACGTTGCGAAAGAGGAACAGTCAGATATTCCCTTCCCAAGCTGCAGAGTCCAACCTGTCGGGAAGGTTGTTGGGAAAACTGTGTCAAGCAGTCAAGTTTGCGATTTGGATTCAAGGGGGGCAGCCGAATCCAGATGAAAAGGGGACGGTTCTAATCCAGGTTAGGAGACAGCTCTCAGGAAGAGCTTTGAGTATGAAACAGGTTTTAATCACAATGCTTTGCTTACTGAAAGAAACGTGTTTTTTTAATTCTTCGGGCAAGAATTCTTTCCTGCCTCACACAGAGATGTCCGGTGATTCCCGCATAATTACAACATAATTACAGTTCGGCAGCACGAACAATAAAAACGAGGCTATTTTGCCACTGCAGGGCTCATTTCATTGAGCAAAGCCGCGCTGTGAGCACGCTGAACGGCTAAAAAATACTGCATGGGAAAAATGTCAGAGGCCGCCGTTGGGAGGAGTGGGAAAGAAAGCATCTCCTTCCCCGGAGAAACAATTCCCCAAACGCCCTGCGAGAATCACATCGTAAATCACACATTTCTGTCCGGCATGGAGTCACTGTTCAGGCACTGGGCTGAGGCGGGAAATCTGGGTCCCTCGGCAACCTTTGTGTCAGCCCTGGATTCTCCCCCCTGGCCTACCTTGCAGGGTTGTTCTGTGAGTCAGCCGAGGAGAGGAAGAAAAGGAAAGGGCCAGGAATATCAGTGTAACAATTAATTCTCTCCCCCTATTCAAGACCTTTCTCGCGTGTTGGAAGCAAATCTTCCTAAGAGTTGGGGGGCAAAGGTCTGAAAATGCCCTTCACTGCCCACAGACCCAATCATATGCAAACTTAGCCAGGGAAAAAGCCCAGGTTCCCAGCATGCCCCTTAAAACCACAACAAAGGAACCAGGAAATACGTCCATGAGCACTGGGGCAAAGGCAGCCAAATGAGGTGGGGACACAGTTAAGCACCCTAAACCCCGTGCAGGAAATGGGTTCCTTTGCTCCCCACCCACACGGATGCCAGAGACCTGCTCTGCCAAGCAAAATATGCCATTTCTACCAAGGAATGGATGCTTGAGTGGCAGGCCGAAGTTTATTGGTTTAAAGTTATTTGCCTAGTTTACCTGTACACCGTGACCTTGCCAGCTCGCGCTTTCATACGGTTTACGGCAACGCTGCCAGCGTGTGTTTATCTTCTCTTCCTCCTTTCTCTTCCACCCTTCCAGTTCAAGTTACCGTGAGCTGAAGATGGGGGTATTCCGGGTTCGAGTCCTGCCATGGTTGTGAACGGCTGGGCACCCTCTCAGCCCCTTGAGTTTGCAATAGGATATTTGTCAAGCTGGTCTTCCCTTACCTGGTTATTATAGGAAGGCCAAACACATGCAAAGTGGTTTCCGTGAGCAGCTTTCTCTGACTGGTGTCCTCTAGGACTGCAATTCCCATATGGCTGGGGCTGCTTGGAGCGTCAGTCCGCATCTGGAGGGCACCAGGACTGAGAGCTGCCCTGATGAAATAAAGGGCAGACGGCGTCTTAGAGACGTCGCGCCTGGGCCATATAGTTTATAATCTGGACCGAGCACAGAGCGTTGCAGCCTGGGTGCCTTGGGCCCTGTACCTGGATACTCCTTTCCACTCCCCCTTCAAGGCCTCTCTCTCCTCCGGAAGACACTTCCTGCAGCGATTAACACCTCTCTTGCCAGCCTCCTGGCTCAGCTTCAGCTTCTCCTGAAATTATTCTGTATTTTACCGAACCTAAGAGTTCCCCCGCCACACGACGGGCTTGTATATCCCCCATTATTCTGGTGCCATAAGAAAAACCAGTAAAAAAGAACTCTGCTCACCAGGGTGGGCAGTTTGTGTTTTGACCTACGATGCCCATCGGCCTGTGCCCTGTGCTGTGCTGATGGGCACTGTAGGCCAGGTATCCTGGGAGCGGCACATGTCCATCGCTGCCAGATGGAGAAACGGGAGCGGAGCTACGTAAAAACCCACTCCGGTCCCGAGGATGGTGATGGATGAAATCGACTCGTGTTTGTTTGCGAGCCATCGCAGGAAATCGGCAGTCCGAAATGATACCATAATGTGCCATTCAGGAGTGCTGTCGGGCACGGATCCCGAATCTTTTCCCCCGAGCCCTGAATATCCATCCACCATTCTCTGCCGAAGATGTTTCAGCTTCACCGTCATGCTTGCAAACCCACATTTCTGTGGGGCACACTGAACTGTTCACAACTGAGGAAGGAGAAATTAATTCTTTCCTTTCCAACTCGCAGCCCCGCAATTTCCCCTGCAATGGCCATTTGGCTCAGAAAAAAAACACAACACAACACAACACAAAACTTTTTCAGTGGCTGGAGAGGAGTTGGGCCAAGGTGAAAAATGAACAGACATTTAAGCCCTAGTTGTTATTTCCAAATTGCGTCTGGGCCTGAAATCTTCTGGAGTGCCAAGGTGCCAAATTTCTCTTTAATTCCGTCCGCTTCCTCCCCGCAGGCTGGTGTCGTCCGTTCAGGCCATAATGGCCACCATCTCCGGGATCGTCGTCATCTGCAACTGCAGAGACGTGGTGAATGACAGGTAATTCCGGCGCAGGATGTTGTGTACCAAAGGCAGGTGTCCCGGGACTTTCACCTAGAGGAACGTCCCTTTGACTGCAGCCACCTTACTTGGGTTCACACTTGACACTGAGCAAAACAGTTAGGACCCGGGCCATGGGGGGCGGGCAGTTTGGCTCTGCTTTTCTTGCCTCGGATCCTGTTGGAACACAAGCCCATGTGGGTCAGCGGTTAGAGGGAGGCGATTTTAGGCAAGTCCCTGTCTCTCGACCTAGCCTACCTCACAGGGTTGTTGTGCGATTAAACGGGAGAGGAGGAGGAGGATTGTGTAACTACACCTCAGGTTTCCTGCAAACAGAAAAGAAGGCAGAGCCTTAAATGCAGCACTCAGTGACATCTTCTTTTAGCCAACTTTGGGGCAGCAGCGCCACGATCCAAACCCGGAGCGCAAGTTCAGCCCTGCGGGGGCGTGGGATCCTGGTAGGGGAAGGAGCTATTTAAGGCGCCGAACCCAGAAATCCAGTTTGGGTTGTCTTAGCTTTGCCTGAGACCCAAGGCGAGCAAAGCCAGCCACTCCCTGGGGAGTTGGCCCTGTTGGCTGTCCTGTGCTGGGATGTCAGGAAAAACGACAGCCGGAAAAATGCATCACACCCCGTACGTCTGGCTTTCTGCCCTCACAGATGCAAGAGTTTAGCCGCTAGACCCCAAACTCCCAGCTCCCTGGGTATTTATACCAGGTCTGGCCAATCCAAGGGTTCGTACTGCCTACCAAGCAGAGATGGCTCACTGCTATTCCTGCCGGAAGGGCTCCGCAGCCCTGGGTGCAAAGCGTGCCAAGATCATTCATGTGGCTAGACCTCAGTTTTCTGCCACCCACAGTTCCACACCTGGAGTCCCTGGGCGTCCTCTGCTCGGGAGCCGCTGAGCTCAGCCGGTCATATACGATCAGAAAATGGAGCGCTGCACGCCACACTTTTTATGCTCGGCCAAGAACTGAACTCAGTTGTGTATCGGCTCCGTGGCTCCTTTGTGGGTTTTCTCTCCTCCAGTAGAAAAAGGTCTGCTTTTCGTTTCCTCGAGCGATGGAGGCCTCTCTTTCCAGCACCCGTTGGAAGACGTTTGAAGTGATTTCCTAGAAAATGGAATCGGAACTCAAGTTGCCAATCTCTTAATGCATCAGCACAGATCTGGGGTGCCGCTTCTGATGGTGGCGCCCCGGAAAGGATGTCGAAAAGCTGGGAGGAAAGTACAGAAAGGGGTGCAGGAAAATAAACCAGACACAGTTCTTAAGGGAAAAGGCGAGGAAGGCGAGCCAGGAGTGGCGTGCCCAAAAACACACACAGAATGGAGAAAGTGTATTCTTCCTCTTTTCTAATACTGGAATCCAAAGAGGAAGCTGAAGGATGGAAGATTCATGGCAGAGAAAAGCACTCCTTCTTCACGCAGAGCTGAGCCGTGGAATTGCAGGAGTGATAGCCGCCCAGCTGGACGGCTTTCAAAGGAAACTGGGAAAATTCAGGAGGAGGAGGAGGAAAGGGCTATCCTTTGCTGCTAGTCCTCATGACAATTAGCAGCTTCCAGCATTGGAGGCAGTATGCCTCTAAGCACCAATTGCTGGAGAACGTAGGTAGAAGGGAAAATGTGGCTTTTAAAAAGCCAGACATAATCACAGAGATAAATATTTGCTTGCCCCCCTCTCTTACACGTCCACCAGGTCACCAACACGAAAGTTTGCTGTTACGCCGTCATTTTCCTTCTGCCGTCTTTTCTTCCGCCTTCTCCTCCACCGTTATCGCTGCACTGTAGGCTCTTTGGGTCAGAGACCTATCGCCAGAGATTCCCAGTGAAAACCCATCTGTAGCATTTCCCGAATTTTGAGGCAGATTGATATTCAATTCAATGTGACATCAGACAACCTAACTCCTCCAGCCGGTAACAGCTGGGCTGACTATATCTCTGCAGAGACATTTTGTCGGTTGAACGAACCCCCGGTTGCTCAAGAGCTACCCCAGCGAGCGGCAAAGGGGAAATATTACCGGCTTCTCAACAGCCGATTGCATAAAAACGGGTTTGTTGCATGTGTTTGCCTTTAAACTGGACTGGGGGGACGCTAAAAAGCGATGGTGCCTTTGCAGACGACTCCTGGCCTGCAGATCGGAAGCCTCCGTTGTTGTTTAGCAAACGGATGGCAAGAAAGAGCTTCGAACATTTTTCCACATACTTAATGGGGCAGCGCAGTGGTTTAAACCGCTGTGCTGCTGGGCTGGTTGATCGGAAGGTCGCCGGTTCGAATCTGCCCAACGGGGCGAGTTCCCATTGCTCCGTCCCAGCTCCTGCCCACCTTGCAGCTCGAAAGCATCCAAATGCAAGTAGATAAAAAGGTGCCACTTCGGTGGGCAGGTAACAGCGTTCCTGCACCTCGGTGTTTAGTCCTGCCGGCCACACGACCACGGAGACCGTCTGCGGACAAACGCCGGCTCCCTCGGCCAGGAAATGGAGATGAGCACCGCCCCTGAGAGTCAGGCATGACTGGACTTAATGTCAAGGGGAAACCTTTACCTTTTTAATGGCCAAAAGATCTTCTGTTTTCCTTCTAAAATATCCCTCGTGTGTATTCGATAAAGATTTGATTCAATGGGGCGATATGACCAGGCTGAGAGAAGGAGACGGGGAGGGCTGGAGCTAAAAATAAACCCGCCTTGTATAATGCTAGCTCTTGGAGGTATCCCGAGCTGATAGTTAACAGGAGTTTGAGCACAAGGAAAGCAATATTTTCCTTGTGCACTGTGTTCTTTCTTTCTTTATTCAAAGTATTTTTATCGTAGGCCAAAGCAGCCGGAATGCAATCAGCGAAAGAAAACAGCCCTTGTAACCTGAAAGACACGACACGCAAGGAAAAAAGGGAGGAGGAGGATAGAGGAAAACTTAAGATGTATTTCGGGGGTGGTGGAATGGACCCACGTCTCTCACTCCCTCTAGTGGACACATGAATCCGACTGCCATGGGATTTGGCAACCGTGAAAAATCCGGATTTTATAAAAATAGAGGCCGTATAAAAATACATAGTATCTGATCTCTAAGAGGCCCAGAATTTTCTTTTTGTAGCTGAAATCATGGGGTCGAAAATGCAGAGGTTTTCAAGATTGGGTAGCAGATGGTTTACGACAGACGGAGACGCAGGCGATCGGCACTGCGATCGGAGAACGTGACCGGGCGGACTCGAGGGGGGAGAGGGAAAGAGGGCGCTCGAGTCCCTCGCGAAGGCGGCCGGCTGGGTGCCCCTGAGCACGGCTGTCCTTAACGCCCCTTTCTGTCTTCACCTCGACCCACCAGGCACTGGATCGCCCGCGAGTACCTCTGGGTGGTGGTCTCCTACATGGCCTACGACATCTATGCCATGTACCTTTGCCATTGGCACAAGAACACGGAAAAGGAGCCGGGCGGCGGGATGTACTCTCTGGCCAGCGTTCAGCGCTTCCTGCGCCGGGAGAAGCTGATGCTTACGCACCACCTCTTCATCCTGCTCGTCCTGACCCCCGTGGCCTCGGTGAGCCTGCCCCTGGGCCGCTGGGCCCCCCCACCCCACCCTGCACGGCCAGTGCCGGAGGCCCCCCCTCCAGTGCTCTTGGAAGCATTTCTATCTATGCTGCAAGATCCTCATGCAGGTGATACGAAGCCTCCATATCCTTGAACCTCCAAACATCCGCTAGGTCTGATCACACACCGTTTTCTTACTCTCAAGGAGAACTCCCCAAACCCGCTCTTTCTTCAAGAGTCTGTGTATCCTGCACAGATAGGTAAAGATGCTCTAACCATGCACAAGCCTCTGAGCATACACAGAGGGAGATTCGAGCCCTCTCTGCCCGCTTTTCCCAAAGCGTTGCTTATGGGCCTTCGGGGCCTGGCTCGGGAAGGAGGGGCCCTGTGCCGCACGCTCAGCGATGTGCCCCCCATCCAGCTCTCCAGCAGGCTGGCTGTCTTCCCCCGAGAGACGCCCCATTCCCAAATCGGCTCCCCTGGGATGTTCGGGTGCTGCTCCTCCTCCATTCCCGCCGGCAGGAAAACTGGGTGTCCCGGAGAGACTTTTGCCCAGAGCAGGCTCAGACCGGTGCTGAGTGTTCGGGCCTGTGTGCGCGGGCTTGCCTGTTGCGACAGCATTGCGTCATTGCTCGTCTGATTCAGCCGGCTCCCCATCATCCCCGGATGCTGAGCTGGGGAGAGTAGGTGGCTCCCATGCGCGCCTGGAAACTCGCCAGGGCGCATGCACCCACACGGCACACGCGCATGCCGGGGGCGTGGGCCGGGCTGCTTTGCCGGCGGGGCGAATGAGGCGTCTGTCGCCCCCCCTGACCGGCCCCCTGCCTTTGTGTCCACAGCTGCTCCGGGGTGAGCGAGGAGACTTCTTCGTCGGCTGCATCTTCCTGGCCGAGCTGAGCACCCCCTTCGTGTCGCTGGGCAAAATCCTCATGCAGGTAACCACACTCCCCTGCATCCCTGAACCTCAGGAGATGTCAAACACCGGGGATCTGACCACTCACCGTCTTCTTACTCTCAAAATGGGTTAACTTTCTGGGGGAAGGAGAGCGAGGACTCCCAAAACCCATTCTTTCTTCAAGAGTCAGCGATATCCCCAAAATAACAGTCAGTATCCGGAAGCCTACATAGAACGGGATCTTGCACCCCTAAAGAGATGGCGGAGAAAGTCACCGGGGCCTTGGGGCCAGTCCCTGGCTCCACACCTGGGCTCCTTCACAGGACTGTTGCGAGGATAAAAAGAGGAGGAGGGGAAAAGGCCTGATATAAACGTCATAAGAACAATAAGTAGTTCCCCTCTGCTGCTCACTAGGCAGACCTCAGCTGGAGTCCTGTGTCCAGTTCTGGGCACCAAGATTTAAGAAAGATGCAGGGAAATTAGAAAGGGTCCAGCGGACGGCAACAAAAATGACCCAGGGTTTGGAAACTGCCCTATGAGGAGAGACTGGGAGAAATGGGCATGTTTAGCCTTGAGAAAAGAAGACTGAGGGGGGACACGTTACCCCTTTATAAGGCTCTCACAAAGAGGAAGGTCAAGCTCTCTTCTCGCTGATGCCAGACACAGAATAATCAGCTCTAGTTGCGACAACCCAGATTCAGGCTGGGCGTCAGGAGACGCTTCCTCACGGTCAGAGCAATAGGGCAGTGGGACCGGCTGCCTGGAGAGGTGGGGGGCTCTCCCACCCTGAAGCCACTCAGAAAGGAACTGGGCAGCCTCTGAGTGGGGTGGTGTGACGTGGCGTCCTGCAACCGCAGGGGGGTGGACTTGATGGCCTTCACGGCCCCTTCCAAGTCTACATTTCTACGATTTTATGAAAAGCCCCTCACAGTGACTTGCAGGACAGGTAACGTCTTCAGGTAATTTGGCACCAGAGCAGGCCAGCTGCTGCTGGATGCGAGATTCTTCTCCTCTGGGGTAACGGTTCACCTCTCTCTCTCTCTCTCTCCTGCTCCCCCCGCCGCCGCATGGTGGCAGCTTCAGATGCAGGACTCGCTCTTGCACAAAGTCAACGGCATCCTCGTCTTGGTGACCTTCTTCCTCTGCCGGATCGCCCTCTTCCCCTTCATGTACTGGTCCTACGGCCAGCAGGTCGGCCTCCGGCTCCACCTGGTGCCCTTCCACATCCCCCTGCTTTGCAACGTGGCCAACGGCCTCCTGATCGCCCCACAGCTCTACTGGTTCGTCCTCATTTGCCGCAAGGCCCTGCGGCTGTACAGCAGCGTGCCCGACCGAGCCAGATAACGGGGGCTTTGGACCTGTCCCGCGGGCGCCTCGCCACACCTGTGCTGTGCGTGGGGCGGGCGGGCACCTTCGAAGCTGCGGGTTTTCCGGGGGAACACTTCCCTCCAGCGAGACCTGGGCTCGTCTCCGTCGCCGAGGGACAAGGCTGCAAGGGGCGGTGGTTTCGGCCGAAAGGCTTTGCCGCCCCACAGAGGATTCTCCGGGCCTCCTGTCGTGGCCGTTGCCGCGTTCCAGAGGCGAGCAGAGGTCCAGCATGGCAGATCCAGGGAGAGCCCTGCTCCCGATATGCCAATTCGTGACCGCAAGGGCTGGTTTCGCAGGCCAGGGAAGCATCGGAAAAACATCCCTTCCCAGGGCTCCCGCAACAGCCGTCTTGAGTTTCCTCCGGCCCTGCACACAATGCCGACTCCTCTCGTCCAAACCTCTGCACCCCGTTCTCACAATGCCACACCAAGATCCCAGCTGCGTCCTTGGGCTGCCAGTTTTCTTAGAAACCAAACAAATTGTCTCCTTTCACAACTTAGCCGGGAGGGGCAGAGGTAAAATTTTGCTTCTCTCACTCCGATATTGAAAGCACCTCCTTTCAAATAATCATCGAAAAAGATTTCTAAAGCCGAAGGACTCATTTCCTACGAACTTGTCTTTGAAATGAGCTTTTCTTCTTTTTTTAAGCCAGGTTTCTAGTCCTTATGCATGCAAAGATGGGGAATGCAGTGTGAAACTGCAGAAGCGAAGAAACAGGCTGAGCAAGATCACCTGTGAAAGGTGGGCATATGATGTACGTTACTGCTTCTTTTCACGCCTCAAAGAAGCTGAATAAATCATACAAAATAAACCACCCTATGAAGGCTCATCCCAGAGCGCCGTGATGGCGGTCCCTGGGTTTCATTAAGGGTTTGATTCCAGGCAGCTCCAGCTAAAAGAAGATTTCAGCAGGGGAAGACAAGAGGTAGGTGCTCGGATACACACCACTCTTTCCCCCCGGCGTTTGCCGTATCTGCACTGCGGAGGGGAACCTGGCATTTTGGGGGACGGAGTGGATATTCCAAGGAAGCCAGCTGCTTCTGAAACGGGATCCGGCATGGGTTCCAGAAGCCAGGAGGCTGGGCCAGGCGTAGGCCAAGGAGGTGGGAAGATGCCGCGTGCGAGCCAACTGTCCAGCCATCCGGCACTTCCCTGTCTTGCCGAAGGATTGGAAAGAGAGAGGAGGACCGTTCGCAGAAGGGGGTGAAAGGAGCACGAAGGACGTCGGACGTTTGTCGCAGGGCACGGGGCCAACAGAGGTTGTGTGAACGCGCCCGATTCTCCTTCTTGCACAGTGCTGGGGCCCGCTCCGATCTGGATCCCCAGCGCCCAGCCGAGAGCACCGCTGGGGCCTCAGCTGGGCCTCATCCAGGCCCTGCAAGCCTCCGCAGCACCTTCTGAGCCTGGCCTATGGGGGCCCAGGCCCTGGACTGGCTTTTGCGCCCCCGAATCTATCCCCCGGAGCCTGTGGGTGCCACTGGAAGTTTTTGCTTGGCATAATTGCCGGACTGCAGCGGGGGGAGGGGGGAGGTTGGATCCTTCCCTCCCCACCAGGGTCACATCCTGACCCCCCCCCCCCGAAAAGGGCCTCCCCTTGTAGGGGAATTCAGCTAAGTAAAACAAACACACTTGCATTGCTGGAGGTTGTTCTTGGGGAGGCAGTTAATGGACTGGTTTATTTTACTGGCGACGAGACGGCTGAGAAGTTGAGGGTTTGGGGACCTTTCTGGACCCAAGGCACCATTGGGAACCTGGGAAGGGCTGTGGGCACCACCACAGAACTGGCTCCTGCCCCTCCTAGCCTCTCGGCTCGCCATTTCTCTCCCCGGCTCCCTTCGCCTTGCCCTGTCCCTCTTCCAGTCTCCAGCGTCACGGTCTTGCCCTGTCACTTCAGCCAGTCCCTCCCCTTCTCCGCCCCTGCCCTTCATGGCTGCATCTCCAGTTTGCCTTAAACTGTGTCTCCCCCCAGATGTTTTGGCCTTCCGCCCCCAGAAAGCAAGCGCTCCGGCCACTGAGTGGACCATCCTCCAAATAGTAAAGCTTTACACTGACCTGAGCGAACGCTCTACAAATATTTTCCACTTCTCAATAAGCTCATCCGCTGGTGTAGCTGGACCAGAACCAACTAGCAACACACCGCCGTGGTTGCCATATTTATTCCTCTCACAACGGTCTGCGCTTTTCCTCCCTCCACGTTTCTGGCACGTTCCGGATGTGTTGGACTGAGAGACGTGCTGGTCAGGCAAGCCTGGTGTTGTTTTTCCAACATTTCGGAAACACCGCAGGTGGACGGAGGGCGCTCTGCACCGTCAATTTGGTTTGGTCTTTCCAAGCAGAGCAAACCAACCCCAAGTTGGAGAGAGGCCTTCAAAAAGCTTCCCGAAGTTTGGGAGCAGGGATAAGAGCCAGATGTGTCTTTATTTGCTCTCGATGTGCCTTCTCCCTGGATCCACTGGAGCACGAACAGCAAAAATAACCCCAGCGAGACCTGTACTGTATTTGTTGACTGACTTCTAATAGCCCATCCGCCGGGATGCTCTGACAACATGTGTGGTCCTCAGAAAGGTCATACGGGACATGTTCGAACAAGCCGGAAGGCGTTCAAGGCCGGCTCTGCGCTTTGGTCCATTCGGTCCTCCAGGGGTCTGGAACAGCCTGCTAAAAGATGCATGTTTCTGGAGTCAGCAGTTCTCTTGTGGAACCATGAGCGGGTGGACGCGCGCATGGGCACCTTCTCACTGTGACATCTCCTTCACCCACAGGCGGAGAGATGAGAAAGACTGCCGTTAAGCCACTGGATAACGGCACTCCGGCAGCTGGGAGCGGACTAATAAAATATTTCACTGTCGAACCTGTCTTTTCTCTCCTTGTTTCCTCGTAAAGTTGCTGTTGTCTTCAGATATTGAGGGAATGGTTTTGAAAAATAACTATTTTTCAGGAGTGGGAATTCTCCTTTGAGAAGAGATGCATTGGCATTTGGAGTCAGAGTTTTATTTTTAGTGGTAGTTTTAGGACTATACTTCTATTCCCCTTTTCCCCTCTTGTAAAGGATCCAAGATGGGTTTGCTGTGCTCCAGCTCCACCTGCATTCCAGGTATGGTTGTACCACTGATTTGGATAAAGCAAAGGGGGAAATGTTGGCATTTGGCGTGGGAATCTGGCCTAGCTTGCTCCTCACAGGCTACAGGCCTCTCGCCCAGTTGGCTGCTGCTTTCCCAGGCTTTTGAAATTCAATTTTGAAGTCAACTTTCCAATTGTCTGCTTTTGAAAAGTTCGAAAGGGCGCTGTGAAGGTCTCCTTGCTGGCAGAAAGAGTTGGCTTTTTAGGCTGCATCCTGCTTGTTTTGGCTCTGGAATGCAGGCCCCCCAAAGCTTCTCCAAAGCCGGATGCGGAAAAGGGCTCAGTGCCCTGATATAATGATGGGGACAGCGGCAGCTTTGCTTTCAGTCAGTATTCCTAAAGCAGAGGATAACTAGCGTTGTAAGAGCGGGATGTTCGACCGCAGGAGTGGAATTTTTCGGCACTTTTTTTCGGCACGTTTGCACATGAAGCTGGCGTTTGCATCACCAGGAATCCAAGGGTCAAATACGGGCCACATAATTCTAACCAGCAAACGAAGCTGGGTTTTCTTTGCCCCCAGCAAACAACACATGTAGTTCCTGGTCCCACCACTGGGGGGCAGCACAAAGCCTCCACGTTGGCTAGTGATTAAAAATTTTTGGCAAGGGGGGGGCTGGACAACAGAGTGGGGGCTTCCCTCTAGGCTCTCTTGGGGTTCCAGCACAATGCAGGCCCAGGTTGGGTCGGCAAACGCCCTACAATTCCATCTTTGAGGCCGGCGTCAAGAGCCCTCTGTGCAGGGGCCGAACCGGGCCCACCAAGCTTCCCTGGAGCTTCTGAGAAAAGTGCGTGGGTGGGGGGGGGGGGAGATTCAAGGTTCTGGACTACAACTTCCATCAGCCCTGGCCAGCAGAGCCAGATTATGGAGTGGCACTCCAAAATAACAGGAGGAAAACCATTTGCTGAGCTGCTCTCCACCGGGGGGGGGTGGGTTACACACTGCAAAATCTTTTGCTAAATAGGTGTGTGACAGAAAGAGAACAGATGAAGCCTAGCTTTTAAGTTCGGGCAAGAAACCCACGTCAGCTGACGACCTCCTCCAGCTTATCCTCACAACAACCCTGCAAGGTAGGTGAGGCCGAGAGTGGGCAGCTGGCCTGACGCCACTCAGGCCGTGCTTGTGCTTGAATGGGTATGCCTGTGTGAGCGATGAGGAAGAGGGTGTCCCACCCCGGGTGTCCCGCAGGCCGCGCTGCTCCGGCTGGCATTCGGCTCCAACGGCACAGTGCAAACAGAACCTTGCAGTAAAACAGGATCTCCCATCCTGGGTTCAAGGGTTTCCACTTCAACAGGCCCAGCCCACACCTAACAGACCTTAGCCGAGACCTCACAGCCGACACCCAGAGCGTTGTCAGCCCCTGGGGCCCCCGTTCTGCCGACTGTAAGCGCGTCACCCATCTTCGCATCACCATGACCAAAATCAAAGACCGCCCAGAAGGAAAGAGATAGAGGTTTATTCTAGTATCCCAAATTTCCCACAGATAGTCTCGGTTTTGTCTCCCCTCCTGGCGGAACACTGACCCATTCCAGCCCGGCACACTGAACGCAGCGGGTGGCTGGTGCCCGCCCCCGGCCGAGCATCACAGCTTCCGCAGCTTCCGCAAGAGCACCGAGCGGAGCTCCTTGTTCGTGACGTTCTCCGCGATGGAGCCCAGGAAGTGCCTCTCGTTGGCCTTGCGCAGGGCGCTGCCGAGGGATTCGTCGGCCTCGGACAGCGCCTCGTACTGCGAGAGGATCTCCAGGGAGAGCAGGACCAGGGGCTCCCCGGTGCCGTCGTCCGGCAGCATGGCCGCCACGTGCAGGGTGTGGCAGAACACCTGGACGAGCACGAAGGACAGCTCCCGCGTCGCGTCCTCCTCGCCCACCCCCTGGCCCTGGCCGCGTGCCGTGCCCTTGAGGGAGCCCAGCAGGTCGGACAAGCTGCAGCTGTACAGCCGGACCACATGCCTCCAGGCCTCCGCCGGCAGCCAGGCCGCGCCGCTGGAGCCGCACAGCAGCTGGAAGGCCCTCAGCAGAAGCACCGAGAGCTGGAGCTGGTGAGCAAAAGGCCGGAAGTTCAGCAGGGGCAGGTGCTGGACGTACTCGAGCGAGTAGGGAACGTGGAGCACCTCCCGTTCCAGGAGGCTCTTGATCACCTGGGTGAGCCCCTTCCACTCCGCCTGGCTGCACCAGGGGAGGACCTGGACGAGGGCCAGCAAGAAGCCCTTGCTGAAGAGGTTGACTTCTTCGGGGTCGTCCACGTTGACCACCAGGACCGTGAGCATCTGCTCCCGCAAGGCCGCGGAGAGGCAGCAACACTCCATCCACGCCAGAAGTCCACTGCCCGCCCCGTAATTTGGGAGTGGGAGGGGGGCCCACTCGTCCTTCGGGAGCTGGGAGACCTCGAAGAGCGTAGCTGGAACCTCATTCTTGAAGTGGTCTCCGTAGATGCCCCTCAGCCGGAGGCCGGCCGTCCAGTCCAAGCCACTGGCCTTCTTGTGCAGCCAAGCCACGGACTGGTTCCACAGCTCCGGAGACAGCGAGTCCTTCTGCGACAGGAGAGCGTCGCTCAGCTGTGCCAGGCTGTTTGCCACCAAATCTTTCGTCTCGAGGGAGGACTTGTGCCGGCCCGGCGGCTCATGCCAGAAGTGCGTAAACCCGTCTAGGAGCTTGCAGAGGGAGAAAATGAGGGGGAACGGGTGGCACGCGTGGACCCAGCTCCGTTCGGACGGCCCCCCCAAGGCCTTGCTAAGGACCTGCAAGGACAGCTCCACCCGGGGAGAGTCCGACGTGAGAAAGGGAACGACAAGATGTTGCGTTACCTCCGCTGGCGACAGCAGGGGCTTTGCTCCGCTCGGCTGCATGAGGATAGCCAAGAATTCCAGGAATTGCTCCTGCTCCTTGGCAGAAGACAGGCGGTCCCAGACGGATTCTTTCAAGCATCCCAGGAGGAGGCCAAGGGTCGTGTCTGGGGAATCGCGGAAGTTCAGAGCTGGGAAGGAACAAAGGATTTCGGCCAAAAACTGATGTGTGCCCAGGTTGGCGACGGCCAAGTTACTTATTTTCTTGATGGTTGCCTCGGGGTTGAGCAGCATCAGCTGGGAGACCGAAGCGACCGACTTCCTGAACCCTTCGCCAGAGGCGCTCAGGATGATCTGGTTGAAGGCGAGGTTGAGCTCCTCCTGGAAGCCTTCCGCAAAGATGGCCAACGTCCCCGAAAGGCCCCGCCTGCCCCAAGCCGCCAGGACACCCGAAATCACCTTGTTCTTGTCCCCCAGAGAGAGGTCCCTGTAACAGTCCAGGATGAATCGGGCCGCCTCGGCTTGCTGCGCCTGGCTTTCGGCAGCTCCGGCCGAGTGGCTGGCCGCCACCGTTGTCTCCAGCAGCTTCAGGATCAGTCCCGGTTCCTGGAAGAGTTCCCTGTTCCTCAACAGGCAGGCCAGCCAGTCTTTGGTGAGCGCCCAGTTCGTCTCGGTAGCAAAAACGGAGCACATCTCCTCGTGCCGGTCCATCCGGTGGTCGATGAGAGCCACGGCCACCGAGGCCACGAGGTCCCTGCTGGAGGTCACGCGGCACAAACCAGGGTTGATCTTCTTCAGGAAGCCCGCAAGGAGCTCCCCCAGTTCCAGCATCACCCGCGCCGTGTCTTTGCTGAAGTCTTCTGACTTGGCAAGCCTCAGCAGTTTCTTCTCCAGCGAGGCCAGGCTGTCGAGGAGCCGGTAGCTTTCATAGCAGATCTGCTGAGGGTCGCTCAGCAGCCCCTGGAGCTCCTGAGTCCACTCCTGCAGCAGCGTTCGGAGAAAGCCGAGGTCAGCCAGCAGGGCCTCGTCGGAGAGCTTGGCCACCCCGAGCAAGCTCGCGCTCCTCGCAGCTTCCCTCACCTTCTCCTCCAGCCCCCGGCTGTTATATCGGTTCTCGCAGTCGCTGCTCCAGAGAGTCACCACCGAGGAGATCTTGTCTAAGTAAACCCGGGCAGGGAGCGATTCTGTCTCGCACTCGGCCGCGATCAAGATGGACAGCAAGTCCACCAGGTTGGCCAGAGCGTAGCATTTCAGCCGGGCTGGGGCGATGCTCTCCTTGATCCGTTTGAACCCCTCCTTCAAGACCGGGAGGACGCCGGTGGCCAGGGCAGACTCCGCCGAAGAGGTCTCGCTCTTGAACCTCTTCGGCGCGTGGCCCATTTCATCCGATTCCACAAAATGCTGGTGCGAGACGGCGCGGAAGAGCAGGGTCAGCCTGTCTTCCTGGCCTTCCTTATGCTTCATCATCTCCCACCAGACGTCCAGGAAGAAAGAGACGTCTCCGGGAGAGGTTTCTTTGGCCACATAGTCCACGAAGGTCTGCAGCTCCCTCCGGCAGACGTGCCCTGGCAGCACCAAGAGCAGCTGCGTGAAAAGCCGGGGCGCGTTCACCTCCTTGAACAGCTCAAAGAGGACCGTGCGGTTGACTTCTGGGATCATGTTGCTGGAGGCAAAGAACACGTCATCCTTCCACCGTTGGTTGATGCTGGCCGCTGGCGAGGAGGCCTCGGAGAGAAGGATCTTGGACCACAGGATGACGGCGGCTTTCTTCTTCCAGGCATGGGGCTGGGGCGGGTAGGAGGAAGAGGAGGAGCAGATCTCCTGCAAGGCTTCCAGGATGGGCTGTCCCACCAGGGACCAGTCGGATTTGGCCAGCTCCGACAAGGGCTTTGGGTGGCATAGCCTGGAGGCCAGAAGGAACCCGCCATGTAAGATGGTGACTTCTCCACAGATGGTCACAGGGCCTGTTGAAGCAAAGACAGCCGGGCTGAAAGCAACGGAAGGTGCTTCTGGTGGGAACATCCAGGAATGTTTACCCCGCGTTCAGCCCAGAGGCTCCATTTTGGATTTGGGGGCTGCTTTCCGAAGGGAGAGGGCCCTGACCATCTCCCCGTTCAAGCTTCCGGCTTTTCCTGCCAGACACTCAGCCTCCAGAGAAGCACCTACAGAACCTTTCAGAAAGAGGCAAAAGCGCCACAAAGACCCCGCAAGCCACCAAATCGTTAAAAGAAAAACCAGGCAAGACATTTGAGGAATTCCAAAAGTCAGGGAACTTCTGAGGCCGCACAGAAATTCTTTTGGGAAGGAAGCCGTGCTTCCTTTCGCCTTTTCTTCTTTTTCTTTTTGCAAGCCCCAGAAGAGTTAAGGCTTTTAACCACATGCAGAATGCCAGTCGCTTAAAAAAATGGCCTATATCCAAGCAGCTTCTAAACCCCTGCAGAGTGCATTCTGAAAGGCTTTTCCTTAATGCCTCTGAACATAGGCAAAGTACTTCTCCTCAGTAATTTCTTAAAGAAAACAGGCGTGAAGGAGAGAATGACAAAACTCAGCGTTTGCACTGCACCGCTGTGTGCTCGAGAAATTACCCGGGGATAAGTCCTACCTTCCGTGTCATCTTTCCCGACCCTGCAAAGTAAGCTGAGCGTGACCACGACCCAGAATGCCGCCTGGAGACGTGAGGCTGACACAGGGCAGCTTGCCTACAGCATGGCTGCAATGCGCCCGGAGGCTTCAGCTCGGTCCCGTGCAGGTCTACTCGGAAGGAACCCTCCCTGCGCCCCGTGACTCCGGGTAAAGCCCTCCATGCACACAGCTGCAGGCCCCGGAAGTTTCCGGTGACTTCCAGCCCAGCGCAGGTGCAGGCCTACTCAAGAGGAGACCCGTGAAAAGCAGCGCGCGCCCCCGTTTGCCGGGCCCACCGGCCCGCCCGGGGCTTTATCCTTCCCCCCGTTCGGCGACTCCGCGCGCGAGGCCGGGCCGCGTTTCCCGCGACTCGCGGGCGAGCGCCCCGCCGGCTGCGGAGGGTGGGAGGTGTAGTGCGGCAGGAAGCCGGGGCTGGGGGCTGGGGGCCACGCCGGGGGGAGCCAGGCGGCCTCCCGGCTACG